AGGGGCAACTGGAAGCCGGGCATTTGGTGCCTTTCGAGACTGCGGCCACTCTTCTCACACCCGCAACGAGCAGGGTCTGGGGCTGGATGCTGCTTTTCTTTTTTTCCCTAATGGAATAAATGTAGGGATGCTACTTGTATGTATTCGGGCTAAACCCAGAAGCTAGGAGGCCTCTCTCACCTTATGAACTTGGTGAGAACTCAGCCTTCTCTTGGTCCCATAAAAAGCAAAAATGACAACACCACAGCCTTAAGTTTAAGCACTTTTGTGAAATCAGAAACATACAGCAAAATTGTACTTGTCTACTCAGCTATGCCCAGGAGAGCCTCCAACGGCAACACCACAGGAACAGCCAGGCAGGAGCACTGCCCCATGTATTGCAAGCTGGTATGGCATTTCCCTCCTATTCTGGAAGCAATGCTTTTCCCACTTACATATATACTGATATTTGATGTCACGTCTTTCTTTAAACCCTACCACTTCTTATAGCCAGGGATACTTCCTGCCCCTTGCAGAGCAGCACACAGAAGAAGGAGCAGGACTACATTCCATTTCAAGCTGTAGGAACGTGTACAGCTTTGCAAAGATAGTGTGATGTTCTGTGCAATGGGAGCAGCATCTATTACAGGCCTCAGAGCTCACTAAAGTTGGTCAAAACCTCCAAGACCTTTAAAAGATGGTGGTTTCAAATGGGTTTGGCTTGAACTCTTGGTGTTGAAGAGCCTGCTGGCTGCGAGCCTGCTTGTGTGAATCGATCTTTATGGTATGGAGCATGACATATATAGGTATGGAGTGTGACCCCTTTGTCAGTAATGGGGCTGGGAACTAGAAGGATGGATCACAGAGGTTGTAAAGCCCCTCATAACATGCACAGAGTATGGTGAAGGGGGAAGAAATGAAGTGAAAACATCTTGAAAATGAATTGAAGAAATCCTAGTGGTAGGAAAAAAAATACTTTATGTCTTTAATATGGTCAGAAAGTGCCAATCCTTGTCTTTTCTTGCAGGTACAGAAGCATGTTGACATTAGTAACCCACATATAAGACTCTATACCACATACAATTGCAGATACATTTTTGTCTTATTTCATAAAAAAGGATGTGTATGAGTTTAAAAAACTCAAGGTTCTGTCATTCTCTGGTATTTAGTATTTTGGTATTTGCATCATAAGGTGATGGATGCTGGCTCCAGCTCCACGCTGGCCTTTAACCTGCTGGCAGCTGGGCAGATCCACCAAGGAGAAGGGCCCTTCTCTGTGCACTTCTTCTGTTCTTTCTCTAAGCAATCATCTCTGGCCACCATCAGACCTATGGCCTGACCCAATTATGGCAATTTTATGTTTCTATGCCTGTTTGTATCAATGACTCCAGTGAGGTTGAATGAGGCAGTAAGAAAGATGGAAAGGTACGTTCTTCCCACAGCAAGATAACTATTTCAAGTCAAGAG